ATCTTGGCCGTGTGGTATGCATATGTAAAAACTTACAAAACTGTGCACTTTAAATATGCTGTTCATTTAATGCAAACTGTACCTCAACAAAAGGTTTTCTTTTTAAAGGATCAGTACCAAAGAATTTTCTTTCTTTTGTGGATTCTTCTTATGATGTGTCACCAGGGCTCCTGATGATGTACAGAAGCAAAAATGATTAAAAAGAGTTGAAGTTTGAGAAAGTTTTTCGTTTTATTTATCAATTTATATCAGTGGTATTTTACTTTTTTGTGTGTACAAGAGTAATATATGCTTGAAACATTTCTAAATCTAATATAGAGCTTTTAGAAACTATGAAGTAGTTGGGCCTGGTGGCTCAAGACTGTAATCCTAGTTACTTGGGAGGCAGAGATTGGGAGAAGGGCAGTTTAAGGCTAGCCCAGACAAAAAGTTCACAAGGCTCCATCTCAACCAATGGCTGTGTGTCTGTCATCCCAGCTGTTAGAGGAACATAAATAGGAGGGCCATGTTCTAGGCTGATTTGGGCAAAAAGTGAGACCCTATCTCAAAAACAACCAATAGAAAAAAGGTTGGAGAAGAGCCTCAAGTGGCAGAATGCCTGACTGGCAAGTGCGGGGCCCTGAGTTCAATTTCCAGTGTTATTTCCTTCCTCCCCGCCCCCAAATCCACCCCCCAAAAACTATGAAGTAAAAACCTTAAGTTACCAGAAATATTGTGTCTTAGTTTTAGTGGCGACTTTTTTTTTTTAATGTTTTAATCCATGACATTTTAGAGTCAAAGAAATAGAGGCAGAATCAGATCACAGCTACTGGTCCAAGTCATCATCATTCCTAGCCTGGTTTACTGCTGCAGCTTCCTGACTGCTTTGTCTACCCCGGAGTTAGCTCTGCTACAGTCCTTTCACCATAGGCAGAGGGATCCTCTTACAAAGTAAATCCCATAAAGTCACTCCACTGCTCAGAATCTTCCAGGATTACTTATGTCATTCAGACTAAAATCTAAAGTCCTTACAAAACCTTGTGACCTCTATGTCATCTTTTGTCCCACAACCTTCCTGTCTTCACCATTTCCTCTGGTCTTTTTGAAACTCTTCACTTCCATCACCAGCTTCTTTGTTCTTCAGGAAGTACATCACAAAGGTACGCACCACAGGCCTGTTGCATTTCTTTTCTCTCTGCCTGGAACTCTCGTCCCCAACTTGTGCACTGTGCCCTCCTCGTACTCCTTGCTTAAATATGCCTTCTTATCGGGTGTCCCTTACTTAACCTATTAAAAATTGCAACTTCTTTCCGAAACCCTTGGCAGGCAGCCTATCCCATCTCAAATTCTTCTTCCTTGCTTGACTCCGTTCCATGGCTCCTACCGCTTTATGACATAGACACATTTTGTTTATCTCTTTGTCCATCACACTCACACGGAAATTTCATGTAAGAAATGGAGTTTCGTCAGTTTTGTTCTTTGCTGTGTTTCTAGCCCCCAGAACAGGTTCTTAGCACACAACCTGTGCCCAGCAAATGTTTGCTGTTAGATGAATGAGTATACAAACTTGAATGATTTGTGTGTACAGCCTGAGTCAGGTACAAAGTGGAAATTTCTATATTGCATTGTGCTTTCTTAAAAATAAATTCACAAGCATTTTGTACTCATAACATAGAGACCTGCGTTTTATTATAAACGTATTTTACCTCAAAATCTTTGAGCCAGAATGATAGCCACAGTCTGAGAAACACATCCTTGAGTATAAGGAGCTCCATTATACTTGACATAAATTAGTTTATCTGGCCCTTGCCACTCAGGGAATGTGGAGAGAAGGCTTTAGGGTACTCAGGTGGCTTCGAAACATACAGATACATATAAGAGGTTTGCAAACTGGAATTAAATTGATAGCAAACAGGCTGTCTCTAGTTCTAAGTATTTTCTAAGCATATTTGGAAATACATAATAGAGTTCAAGTCAATAAAGCTTAAAACAAAATGAGACTTTGAATTTCAAGAATCAAACGCAAGGTAATGTTAGTTAGTTGATTCTTTTTCTATTGGGTTGCAGAAGTCAAAAAGAAGTGACCAGGAAAAATGGAAAGGCTGAGCACAATTGGTAGATAGTCTTTTCCTTTGAAAGGAGGAAAGAAAATCTTAATTTTGCTCTTTCCCTGGTCTGCATTTGTAACAGGCAATTATATCTTTTCATAAAGATGGTCTCCTTTTTATTCATTGGCAAATGACTGCTGTTTGGTAAGTTCCTCCTTCTCTTTTTTCCTTCTGGCACTTTCTATTATGGTCTTTCTCCACTCTTCTGTTTTTTTTCTTTGTTCCCCTAAGTCTTGATAACATAAGAAAAAAAACCTTGGATATAAATTTAGAAAGAAAATGAATTCAATGTGGGGAATCTGAGTGCTAAGAGTTTGAAAAGAGCATATGGCTGGCTTATGGCTCCTTTTGGCAGAACCTGAGGAGAGACCTGGCAGAATCCTCCAGAACCACAGGGGTGGAGTGCGGCTCACCTGGCCAGCACACTGGACCCCGCAGAGCAGCCTAATCTTCCCTGCCTGTGGGTTGCCTCACAGTCTGTAAACACAGGGTGGAAGATTCTTCTGGGGTGGAGAAAACATAAGTAAGGCAGTTTGTTCAGCATCTGCTATAGATTGTGGTGAGATGCGTGCATATGCTGGCTTTATTGATATAAATCATTTTGTCATGAGGCATCATCAGTGCTAAGGTAAACGAATCAATTGCATTTTGTCATTATGCGTAATCATCAGGTTGTGTATTATATAATTTACCCACTGTTGGTCTTGAATAGAGCCCTTCTCATTGAGGTATGTATTTGCAGGTCTGGAGATGACATATGGCTCTCAATTGGCTTCAGTTTATTTCTTCAGAGTTTCTCCACCTTTGTTCCAGTGATTCAGATCCCAAGGGTCAGTGATCACTCTCCAACAGGACGGGAGGAGTATTTATAGGAGCAGTGTACCGGCTCCTCTATGAGAACAGGAAGGTAGGGGGAATGAGATAAAGAAGGACTCTCATCACTAAAACAAGCTCTTAGAATGTGCCATACAGCAGTTGCTGCACACATACACGGCACCCCTTTGTGACTAATGAGAATTCCTATATTCTTAGATGATGAGCACAGATTCAATTACGTGACAGTTCAAAAGGTTTTAATTCTTCCAGCATTCCTTAAAGAACTCTGTAAGAGCGACCTTTTAAATATATTTTTTTCAACTATCTAACCATAATTTCAGAGATTTACAAAAGAATTATGCCTCTACCAATTTCTGGTTTCCATCTTCTAAATTCTTTAAATTTTTGTCTTATAAAAGAAGCTACCAATATACATGACCAAAGAAAAACCTTGCCTGAATTCACTATATCAATGTCTAAGTTACCCTCATCCTTCATTCTGTCTGCCAGAGTCTATTTAATTTTTAATTTTTTACAGAATCACATCTTTCACTGCCTCTAGGGGAGTTAGAATGTGGAGAACTCCCTAAGCTGGCATCTCCAATTTTTCCCATTTAAAAATCCCTGGTCTTTCTTTTTGCCTCTTCTTCCCTACAGGTTCTGCCTTCTGGCAAGCTGTTTTTTTGTGACTTTTCTGAGTAGTTCTCCAGTGCACACCAGAATAATTGCATCTGTCTTTCTTTTTGATCTACAAGTCCATTTAAAGCCACAAACTCACCATATGTCAATTGTTTTCCTCCAACTAGTCAACAAGTAAAGAGAACAAAAACCACATTCAGTAAAGATATTCCATCTAATTTCCCAAGCCAGGGGAGACATGTGGAAAGAAATAATCAATCAAGGATATATTGAGGAATTCTAGATAATGGCAAAATCTGAAGACAAAAAGCCAAGCAAGGTTTCAAAAAACATGGCCTTGAGTACAAGGGCTGCCTTACTTATGTCTGTATCTGCTGTTGTGCCTAGAACAGTGGCCATCGTGAGAGACAGTCTTAAAAATGACCCAGATAAATGAGTGACTCCATTGTTTACTTAGGTACCATGGAGTTTATACCATCTCCCCTTGCAAGACTCAACTGGGAAGACAGCTGAGGCCTTTTAATTTGATCTACCTTTTTGCTTTATAAATGTCCCACCTCAGAGACAGTGATCAGCATTCTGAGACACTGCAGAGGCATGGCAAGTGCTTAGGGTTTGCATCAGACTCTGGGCTCAAATCTTGGCTCTTTACAGCTACGTGACTCTGAGAAAGTCACACAATCTGTCTAAGCCTTAGTCATCTCCTTCAGAATGGAAATTCATACTACTTTTCTCACGAGGTTGTTTTAAAGATTAAATGAGATGATCATGTGAACTTCCCAGCATTCACAGGTAGAATAAGCACCTATTTATTTGCTTGTGTAGGGAGATTGGGACACAAAGATCAATAAAGGGCTTCACATAATGACTGATCAATATTAATTCTGAAAGACACTGTGTCAGCACTGAGTCCTTTGTAAATGAAGACCATGTGATGCACAGGAAAGCAATGTGAGTCAACTCCCTGTATAGCTATCCTTATCTCAACTAGCAAAGACCCTTGGTCCTTCCTATTATTGCTTATACTCTCTCTTCAACAAAGTTAGAGATAAGGGCAAAATAGTTTCTGCTGAGTAGCGAGGGGTAAGAGGGGGTAAGAGTGGGAGCGGGGAGGGGGAATAAGGGAGTGGGGGGAGGGGGGGAGAAATGACCCAAGCATTGTATGCACATATGAATAAAATAAAAATTTTTAAAAAAAGAAAAAAAAAGAAGACCATGTGATTTCACAGTGGTAGGAGTGAGGTTGTGCCAATCTGTCCACTCTCCCTGCTATGTTCCACCAGGCACATCAGTTAGGGGCTGGGATGCTCATGTTTACACAAAGAGTGTCTCTAGACCCATATCTAGTTTGCTCCTGCTGTGCCTCAGAAGGAAAATTTCCTCCTTAGGGTTGCAACTGATAGCCTGGTTTGTCCCATTTCTGCTAATCCACAAAGCAGGAGCATGATCCATTGCATCTTCAGATCCTTCTCCTGTTTGGTAGAGTATTATCCCTCAATTGCAAGGGAGTCAGAGGTAAGCCAGGAGAGGATAACAAGTCAACAACTCCAAAGATTGCCCCATCTCTATAGTGTCTTACATTTAGTTGCGGAGAGCTGGGATTTATACTGCCCTCGGACCAGTCGGCAGGTGGACCCATCTCCATTGCAGACCCCACAGTTATCCTCCTTGACGGTGCTTCCCAGCTGGTGATCGCAGCCTACAATCTAACAAGAAAGAGAAATGTGTAATTCAACTGGGCACCTACCAAAACAGGGATCCATGGTAAGGCCAATCACCACCAAATGGCCCACCCTTTCTCCCCAAAGGGCATAAAACATAGTTCTTATGAAAGGGACTGAGTTAAACTAGAATTTGAACAAGCTAAGGAGGAAAAAAATGTAGCATGGGTAAAGATACCTTTACAGCTCAAATATACAAACAGAAAGAAGCTAAAAGAGAAAGAATGGGGGTTTGGGGATAGAGAAGAAGAGAAAGAGAGAGAGTAAAGAAGAAGCTCCTGAACTATTAATGTCTAGAACCTTAATTCAGAAATAATTCCCAGGGTCAATAATTATGATTCACCAAAATGACAAAAAAATATAGCCATGAGGTCACTGTAGCAGGAAGACTTTAGAAGTAGTATATTCTATATGCTCATTAGAATGCAAAGTGTATAAAGGTTGGGTTTCATGTGTTTGATATATTTCAAACCACTGAAACAATGCATGGTAAACTGAAGGCTAATCAATTTTTGCAGTGTGATAATGAAAATATAATTAACTTTTTCTAACTAGCATTTCAGCTAAGAGAAAAGAAACAGGAAGGAAGTGGAGGGTTGGCCTGAAGGACAGCAGAGATGATCAATGCCAAGACCTTGCTATTTTCCTGGCCTGTCCTGTACTAGGCACAATACAAATGTCTCATTAATTCTCAAAACAATCATGTAAGATATCCCCATTTTATAGTTGAGGCCATGAATCTTGCCCAAGGCCACTTAGCTAGTAAGCAGCCAAGTTCTAAATACTTCTAGCAAAACATGTAGGTTTAGTCCAAATCAGGCTTAACAAAACCACAAGCCTTTACAAAGCAGGTGGGCAAACTCATTTGTATCTTTACTCTTTCTTTCAAATGTCTGAGTTAAAAAAAAGTTAAATTCAAATGGCACCAGGTTGTACATCTCATACTCCTAATTTGAGTTCATACCAAAAGACTTACTCCACTTCCAAACTTTTCAATTACTGTTTTTGACAAAAGAAAATGAGAGAGTGACATTTCTAAGGGCTTTATCTCCAAAAATCCCACAAAATTTGTCTTGCTTTAAAAAATCTGGTCTTCTTTGAGGCTTGATTTTCCTTTTTGTATCTTTTGTTAGTAATTATAAACATTAAGCAAAGGTTTAAAAATATAATTACTTAGCATTGTGCTATATATGTACTCTACTTTTAAATTGTGGTAATGAGTATTTTTTCATTAAAAAACCAAACACATCTTAAAATAGATACAAAGAAACAACTCCTTCAACATGTGTTGGTAGAGATGGAATCTTCCACACATGGTTAGGTTAGCGTACCCTACCACTGAGCTACAGCCCCAAGCCCTGCACATTTTTTGAAATGCACAGATCTCAGGAAAACGTGGTTCTAAAGTGAGTTCTAAACGTGTCTTCTAAAGTGAGGAGCAAAGGTTGGCTCCGTTTGGTGGCTTCAATGTGGTCAAGCAGCCTTTCACTTCAGGGTATTCAGGGACTGCAACAATTATCAGAATCCTAGCAAGTTTCATTCATAAGGAGCCAATGAATTGCTTTTACATGCCAGCTTAAGACATCTTTGGTTTGCTTCTGTGTTACTGTGGTAAAATTATTTTCGTAATTCTTATCTATAGGTGAATCCGTACATAAGCTTATCAATTCTGTACTCATACTTAACATTCTGAGTATAGCGTGAAATGGGATGGAAGAAGTACCTATTTAAAAAACATTCATTTGTTGCCCACTTACTATGGGCCTGGCAGTGTGCTAGAAGCAAGATGCAACGGTGAATTTAAATATGTATTTGCCCTCTCTCATGAGACTTCCAGTCTAGTAGGTGAGGCAAATATTACCTCAAACCTCACATATAATAAAAGTAAAATAAAATTTGTTTAGTGAGTCTAAAGAAGACTTGACCTAAGAAGAATACCTGAAGCTGAGAAATGAATGAAGAGTTGGAGTTAACAACTGAAGGGGAGGTGTCTCCCTGAGTTTCCCACTTACTTTAGAAATGCCTAGATACAACTAATTAGAAAGGAGACAAAAACTAAAGTTGGCAAAAAGAAAAAAATTAGATAAAACTAAATCATCAATTGCCTTATTCGGACCAAATCCTTTGAGGAAACCATGGCAATCTTAATTTAGGTAGCATTCAAAGCATTATGTTTGAAATTGAAGAGAGATGGGTTAATTTTACAAGATCCTCAAGTATGTGAAAGGACAAGAAGGGTAGTGGATATTGGAATGTGTAGTCTCAGGCATCTTGAACCTAACTGGATTTACTCCTTAAATTATAGTAATTTCAGGTTTTTTCAAAAGATTGAAGTTTCTCTGGAAAAATTTCTAATGGACTCTGATATCTTTACCAGAGCCAGAGGAGATAATCAGGAAAATCCCTCTCTAATCCTAAAGATTTCTTATGGTTCCAAAACCATTTTAAGAAAAGAATAATTCAGCGTCACAAATCCAAACTAAGATTCACATTAGGAAAAGCTAAATAAGAGGTGACATACTCTAAGGCCAGCTTGGCCAGACCCCTGACCTAGCTCTCAGTGTGCGTTCATGGACCCTAGGATATGAACGATATCAGTTCTAACTGGGCGTTGTTTAACGTCAATGTTTAAAAGCCAAACATCTCTCTGACACAATTGTTTTTATTTTTCTCTGTTCTCTGTATCAATTCCCCTTTAAGAAGCCAAAATATTCTAACTCAATTATTTTTAAAACGTGAATACTTTATCATCAGATAAAATGTTCTTATTTTGCTCCAAGTGGAAAATTGTTTGCAATTATGTGAGGATAATCATTCTTGAAATAATCTGTTGACCTTGAATAACTGTGAGATTAATTAAAAATTAGTTAAACTGTTATTTTCAGACCTATTATTTACAAGAATAACAACAACAACAAAAAAAGCTAGGACTGCGGAAATGGGCTATATTGGCAGTCTTAATGCCAGATCCTTCTGTGCCTTTGTAATGCTATTATTTCTGCCTAGAATCCTCTTGATCAGTTCTTTATTTGTAAAACTCCTATTCTTCCTTCAAACCCTTAATTATCTCTTACTTATAAAAGCCTTTTCCAGATTCTAGAACTAACTGCTTTATTGCTCTATACTTTCTTATCCTTTTCTTTATATTTCCATGTGGTAGAGCTTGCTGGTTGTCACCCAATATCTATCTTTTTCTATTTTTCTCTGTAACAGAACTCCAATTTTATTGGGATGGCAATATATCAAGTTAAAAGCATGGATTTCTCTGCGGTATGTAACCAACAGCAATTAGTGAAATAAAATTAGAAGCATTGTGTATTCTGGGAAAGCCTCTTAGAAGAAGCAGGCTCAGCAAGGGACGGCCCTTTTCTGCCCTCTGCCTTCTTTCCTGTTGGCTCCAGCAGCCATCTTGAAAAATGAGACATGTTTGAGAAGAGAAGCCTAGTATTGTGGATGGAGGCGCAGAACAAAAGGCAGAGACCAGTTCCTGTACCATATTTGGACTGATTATATTGTGACTTCTTTTTGTGAGACAGTAAATCCTTTATGTGTTTAAGTCACTATTATTTTGGAGTTTCTTTTACTTATATCCAATTCACACAGTTAAATAAGTTAAATATGTTCCTGTCTATACCAGATGATGGGTTACCTGAGAACCTTATTCTATGAGTCTTTGATTTTCTGCTACTCAGCATAGTATTGGACATTTGAAATGCACATTGAATGCTGGTAAATCAATGAAATACAAAACATCCAAACTAATGATTGGCTAACAATCCAGATGTAGCTAACAGACCAGCAACTTATACTGTGGTCATTGTTGACACACACATGTGCGAAAATGTGTGTGTGTTTGTATCTCTGCACAAATAAACAGTTCTACCACAACTAGAGGCCGAATCTAAACCTCTGTCTTGATGCATGAACTAGCATTACTATAAAGGGCTGCTATGTTTTTAAAGACTATTTCCCAAGTGCACCTATATTCATTATTAGCAAAATGTCACAGAAGGCAGTGTTCAGGTCATGGAGTTCCCAGACCCACCCCATTCTGGACAAAACATTAAAGAGATAATGACTGCTCACAGCTCTGGCAACTTTATGGACTCTTTTAGTAATTTGAAGTGTTTTGGCTTAATGCAGCTTATTAGTATTCTGCTACTAAATGTCAGCTGGAAGAGGGGGTCTAATCTCACCCCCCTCCCAAATGATTTAAATGTTGCTTATTTTACAATTTTTTTAACCTCAGGTGACATAAAAAGTAAGAAGCTCTAAGAAGAATTTAGAGAAATAGCACCCTGAGGTTTATTAATATTATTGTCTTTGTTGTTTAGAAGCCAATAGTGGGCCATTAAATTTTGCTTTTATGTCTTAAAAACATGCGTTCTGAGCTGTTGAAAAATGAGGGGTGGGAGGTAAAGGGGTAAGGAAGAGTAATGGGAGGGGTTGATGGGCCAAAGTAAAGCATACCCACAGTGGGCGTACATTGAGAAACCTCTTTGAACATCAACTTAAATATTAATAATGAAAACCAGGATTGTAAAATAGGTACAGTGTGTGTGTGTGGGAGGGGTTACTAGTGGGAGGGGGAGAGTGAAGGAAGGAGATTAAGGTGATGGTATATGATAGATGGACTTCATATACCTATATGAAACAGAACTAGAAGACTGAAATTCTCTAGATAATGAAATACATATAAAAATAGCTTCACTAGAAGTCACAGGAGAAAGCAAGAGCAATACCCTAGTAATTTTGATAATATAAATAAACATAATCCATAAGCAGATACTATACCCTAGACTAATATTCTTAGATGGGTTCATACTGGCCCCATTTCAAATGGTTCCCCATAAAGATCTCAAGTACTGAGCCAGTGATGTCAAGCTTTTCTTGATCCAACACCATGAGGTAAGATACTTTTAAATCCCTTTATTTTCAGAGCTGGGAAAGACAAATATGGAAAATTAGACTGTGCAAATCTGATC